GGTTGCAGTTGGTTGGATTCCAGTTGATGGAGGACAGATCTCTCGGCGGGTAATGACGGAGGATTCCAAATGCAAGACGGCCTTCTCCGAGGATCCGTGCCCTAGTCTTTGCCATCAACACCAGCGGTTCAATCCTTAACCGGCCAGTTAATGGACGGGGCTTGTTTCAGGTCGTCAATGGATTGGGCATTAAACCACACCACCTCCCCTCCCAGCACAATGTTGACAGGGGCAGCGCGATGAGGAGTGATCAACCTTGGTCTCCGCAGTGCAGCCAGATGTTGCAGCAAGTGCACGGTAAAATGGCCCGCCGGAGTCGATCATCAGTGAGACACACGCCTTGTCATCAGATGCCTTCAATGGCCGATGCGCATGGCCATGAGACCGACCATGGATAGCCTGCAGCAAACCGTTGTTCGGGACCATCAGATTTTGATGATGACGCAGATGAAGGTGAAGCGCGCGAAGATGAAGATGACGATGACGATGATGGAGACGCCAACAACATTTCTGCGCAAAATTCGGACAATGTGCACGACGACTGAGACAGTGCACAACGGTCCAACCAAGGGCAGAACTTGGATGGACGGGAGGGCGGTCGTCATCGTAACAATTCCAAGGGCAAAGACAGTGTTGCGAAAAAACAAGAAACAAAATGTCCCTTGGACGTTGGAGGAGAGGATCACCCTAGTGAAGATAATGGGGAAGGACGACGCCCTAATGGTTGATACTGACGGTCAACATCAGTTCATGAAGAGGAAGGACATGTACGCATGGGTGCACGATCGGATGAAAGACAACGGATTTCGCCACAGGACAGCGGAGAATTGCCGGAAGAAACGGAAGAACATGTTGAGCAAGGCGAAGCTTATCCTCGACAGTCGCGAGAATGCGTTTTGCATGCCTTCGTATTTTGACTTGCCGGTGGAGAAGCAGGAGTTGGAGGTGCCTCTTGCCTTTGAGAAACCGCTTTGGGAGGCGATGCAGTCCATGACTTGTGACAAGACATTGACGTTCGAGGATTTGGCCGGTGTAGGTGGGGAGACAACTCACAATGCTGCTTCCGGAAACCTTGGTTCAGGGAGAAGCAGTTCGGACGACAGAACGACGGAGGATTCCGAAGGTGCATCCAAGAGACAGAGAACGAACAGCRGCAAGCCAAGAGGAGGACATTGAGTTGTGGGGGGCCACCGTTAGGGAGGGTGGTGGAGGAATTAACGAGGGGATATTGTGATAGTTTTGAGAAAGCCACCTCCACTTTGGGGAAGGCGACATCGGAAGCCGGCATGGCGATCGCGACAAAAATACGTGACGTCSCAGATGACATGGGAACACTGTACTTGAGGCGCTCGTCTAGGTTTTGCCAGACGAAGAGGTGGGGGGAACTCCGGTGGTGACAGGAGGGGGTCTTGTCGAATCGTACTTCATTTTGGATTATTGATCGGCTCTCGTGTGACWYCTGTCGRGACAGAGACGCGGTGCGCCTTGGCTGTGGAATGCATCATCTATGCCATAGCCATTATCAATCTATTGCGAATGCCGACTTCTGTATTGAAGGGTGTCCAACATTTCCTCATTGTACACATCCCATTTTATATATGTATATATATATTCAGCCTCCTGATGAGTCGGTGAAACTCCGACGAAACAGTTTGTCACAGCCCCTCGTTTGTTGTCCTCTTCTCTCTCTCTGCCCACGGTTTACCGGGCAGTTCTGTTTGTGACGATATATATATATTTTCAATGTAAATGAATTTTTGCGTGCATTATCGAATCATACTTCATTTTGGATTATTGATCGGCTCTCGTGTGACACCTGTCGGGACAGAGACGCGGTCCGCCTTGGCTGTGGAATGCATCATCTATGCCACAACCATTATCAATCTATTGCGAATGTCGCCTTCTGTATTGAAGGGTGTCCAACATTTCCTCATTGTACACATCCCTATCATCCAAATGTACGTTGTCCCTTTTGTGCCCAAGGAAGCTATCARAACTGCATGWTGCCGCACGGTGATGAACGTCCTGCTGTTTTTTTGACATCATGTGGACAACATGTCCTCTGTCAGGACTGTTTTAAAGGGATGGTTCGTGATAGCCGTCCTGCTGAATGCTGTGCTGGCGCAACTCTCCTTGGGTATCCTTGTGAACATCCACATCATCCTCCACGTAGCTGTCCTATCTGCCGAGGTGGGGACAGATAAAAACAAAAAAATAAATAAATAAATATATATAAAAAAAAAAAAAAAAAAAAGAAGGAAAAAAAAAATATATATATATATATATGTATATATGTTGGTATGTGGGATGTGTTATTTTCTTTGTGACAATTGGATTATCTGTAGGATGTGTCATTTGCTTTGTTTAACTGGTAGACTTTCTTTCCCTATCACGTTTGGTTTCCTCCTCCTTTTTTTTACCTCTTTGCTTTTTGGCTGCGTGCAAGTGGGTCCTCGTGACATACGGGGATGGGGCCAGCCAACGCTCAACCTATCATCCACGTGGCTGACCTTGTACGTAAGAGGTGATGAACTAGTGGGGTTTTCCTTACTTCCTGTCCTTTTCTTGTTTTATCTTCTTCCGCCTTTGTGCTCCGATTAACAGTGTGACGATAGTATACGACGTCGGAAGGTCGGGGGAGAGCATCCCAAAGACCGTAGTGTAAGGGAACTACTTCGGCGTATTGCGTATATAAGTGTGACTGAGGAGTGTTGAGTGTGAGTAACAAAGCAAACCCGCTTTAGAGGGCACGCCGTATGCGAAGAAGCTGCCGTCCGTTAAATCGAACATTTCATTTACTCGGCTCCGAATGTCTCTTAAATTATGACATTCATTGTCTGATTTATTTTGGTGAAATTTCTTTTGATTTCATGTGACAATTCATTTATTTATTTCACTTCGATACCATATTGATAATCGACAACAAACTATTTCAATCATAATAAATGACAAGGATATGAGGAATAGGCCCCGTGTCATAAGTCACTGACATTAAACCCCATTCCACGTTCTTCTTTATCGGGCTAGTTCTGCCTTCTTGTCATAGATAGACTGAATGACGATTTTTCACAACCAACTGAAGGTTTCACCATCATTGCAATCTCCTTTCTTGACATAAGGATGAATATCATAAATATCTTCTTCCAAGAAATGAATCAGTACCACAAAGATAGTCGTACTACCAGAATGATCGACCCAACAATGTTTGTATGTATAGAAAAATATATCTTTAGTGGTGGATTTAAAAGCTCATATTTGTATAACATTTTTTATGAAGGAGTTTCATTGCTTTTGGTTTACTTCCCCCCCCCCCAATTCTCAAGGATGTTAAGGGTTCATAAGACATACCTATGGCCAAACCTGATTTTCTCCATGAACTAGTGTTAATCTCCTTCTCCAATCAAGGATAGTACCTGACACATGAAAATATTAAACACAGTAAGGGATTGTGATATTGAAAAGAATCATAACTCAATGAGAATAGCAAAGTGAATCTTAGGATTAAAGCACTGCCAACA